TAACCGTTTACTAACCAGATCTTTTTAAATGGTTTCTGTTGATGTAACCCCCTTAATTGAGAAATTAGTGAAAATATTCCTGAGAATTCCTCCATTGGAACTGGTGTCTGGCACATCTCTCTCTTTCTCTCTCTCTCATTTTTATCTTTCCTCCAAGATTTCAGTTACCATGGAGAGCAAGGTTTTCTCAAAGGCCTGCTTTCTCTATCTGATATTTTTTTTACTGACATGAGTAAATGCTGAGTTTGAATATGATCATTTGCCTCAAGAACTCAGTCTAACCAATTTTTTAATGTTTTTTTTAACTTCCAAGATTTCTGAATAGAGAAGCATCTGAGTTGTAACAACCTGTACAGGCCACAACTGTACCCTTGTCCTGAGATTAAAAAAAAACCAAAACTATAGTTTGTGTAGTTAAATGTTTGTATCTTGAGAAAAGGGCAAATTACTAGTTTCAGGTAATTGCATGTAAGGTGTTTGCAAACACCAACAGCCTCTTTCACCTATGTAAGTGGAAAGACTCATGGCTCCCAGTGTGCTTTTTCTCTTTTCCTGAATGAGTTTTTCCATTCTCCTACTTCTGGTGGTGCAGGAGGGTTAAGGAGAACAAATAACTTCTGTAGGAGGAGTAATACTTCCAGAGGATGAACATAAACAGTAAAGTTTATGTGGGGTTTGTTAGTGTTTCAGTTTGTTAGCAAAGATTTACCACGGTTTCAGTTAGGGGGGTTTATTTGTTTATTGGAAGAAAATGATTTCTTGGTTATTTTGGCCAATAAAATGTGTTCTTTGATTTTGGCCATTTGGTATCTCTGTCTGTTTTCTGATCACCTGCTGTTGTTTGCTTCCCTTCCTGGGACCCTGCTCTGATACACTGGCATTTCAGTTATACCCAGATGGTAATATCCCTCTTTCACAAGTGAAGAAAATGAGGGTGTAACTTCCTGAGTCCTATGGCAATGAGACCAGCTTTCAGAGTACTTCTTTGTTCTTGCCCTGTGCCACTGTTTGCACCTTTCTGGATTTAACTCTGTGGAGGTGGGAGGAAGGAAGGAGCTTAAGCCAGTTTTGCTGCCAAAACCAGAGACGTGGGGTGAAACAACACACTGAGGCTCTGAGACACAGCTGTGCAGATCAAGGTCACACAGGAAATGTGTGGGAGCAGGGGAATAAGAGAAAAGTTTCCTGAGCAACAGTTTGGGGTGTCTCAGGTTGGAGGACTCCTGGCATGTGGAACTGGGATGTGAGGCCACGGGGCAGGGCAGGTTTCTGGTTGCAGGGCTGGTGTTAGTTAAGGCTTTGTCATGGCTTATGTCCCAGGTACTCCATTTGCATTTGGTCATGCAACAGATCTGCTTCCTGACACAGGATCCCATGTGCCTAATGCAGCTTTTCAGTAGATCCCAGATCTGCCAGCTCTTGCATCTCAGTGTTTTCCGAGAGCTGGGTGGACATAGAGCAGTGCTGTGTCACAGGGAGGGTCAACTGGAAGAGCAAGTCTCTTACTTAGGGCTTAAGAGGTGCAAAGTGTGGGATCCTTCTGTCTAGGGCTCTGTGAAGAGCAAGTGCCTGAGAAAGAGACACTCCTGTGTTGTGTTCCTGGAGTGTGTTAGCAAACACCTTGTTCTTTGCTGTTCCTAGGTTTTGAGAGAGCCTAGCATCTTCCTCTGAAAAAGCATCATTTGCAAGAGCCAGGCTGTACAGTGCATTCCCAAGCTGGGTCTGGAGAAGGGAAAAGAAAACCAGTAATTCTTTCTAGGCTGCAGCAAGGAGGTAGCCTGTAGGATCTTGTGGCCTTGACTGTAAATCTGCACAGTACCCTGATCCTAAATTATAAGTTGTGTTTGCATCCCAGAGCTGGGAGCAGAGGGAAGAAGGAAAACCTGGAAGGATGGGGAGATGTCTCTTTTTGACCCTTCCCTTTCCCAGGGGGAATGGGAACAGGCTAGCCAGCAGGGAATGGCAGTGAGCTCCAAGGACTGCAGAGGCTTGATGGCTCATGATGAATCAGATGCACTTGAACTCTGAACAAGTAACTCCTGTTGGTACTGAATGGACTGCGCAGCGCTGGCAGCTGGGAGGGGAGTGAGTCAGAGCAGGAGCACTGAGTGACTCAACAGCCAGCATGGCTGTTCCCGGAGCCACTTCAGCCTCAAGTGTATTCCCAGGAGCACTCTCTTGGATCATCTTTGTATTCACTCATTTGGTTTTTGTTTGCTTTTTGGGTTTTTTTTGCATCTTGACGTCATTTCTGTGTTGTTGTTTGTTTTTTTTCAGTAAAAAGGGCACTTAAGTAGTTGATTAACTGCTCCTTATTTATAGCACTGCCTGTTCAAGCCTAGTAGATCAATGGAAGTGGTGACCTGAAACGGTTCGGGAAGCAGGGGTGAGCAGAGCTCCGTGGCACAGGATGCAGAGCAGACCTTGGGGCTGGCTGTTGAACTGGGCTCTGCCTGCTGGAATTCATTAACTGCAGCCAGGGTCCAGCCACCTGTTCAACCTGGCACTTGTTAAAGGACATGTTATCACCTCCAGGCTGCCCTTTTCTGGTCCCAGCAAACATCTTTGTGCAGTGAACTGGATCAAGGAACTGATCTTTAGTTTTCAGCGGTGTTTGCTCCCAATCTGGTGCATCACACAATCCCTCCACATGCTGTACCAGTGTGTGGAGGGAGGCTTCCTCCTCTCCCTGCTTTAAGTAGTGTCAGCTTTAAGTATGCTTTGACCTGTAACACTATGTGGTAAACTTTGATTTTTCTTGCAGTAATTTAACTGCTTTTTATTTTGTAAATAATTTGTCTTCTTTCCACTGTGAGGAAAGTGAGAACTTCTGTGCTATAGAGCCTCACTCAAGTTTTTCAGCCAGTGAGTTCATTACACACTAAGGCAATTAAGGAGAGCAGGGGGTCTGTGACCCCAGGGGTCTGTGCATGGATGCCGACCCGTTACTCACCAGCAGTCCATCTTCCCTCATTAAAGTGTTGCCTGTTGCTGGATGCTGCAGTGCAGCTCTACTGAAGAGTGTGTAGAGGCTGTTCAGAGCCTCCTCCCCCCTGAATTCATGGAGTGTTGTGAAAGGAGTGTTTGATTTTGGAAGGAAGAGTCCTATCTGGTATATGTCTCTTGTCTGCGTGATGTGGGTCTGGCATGAGTTAGGTAAGATGGGTATCTCCTGTCAGGTGTCACTGCCTGTTTATTGTCACTTCAACCCAAGATTTTAGCCCATGTGAAATGGTCCAGAGCTATAAAAGGCCTTGTGCTCTTTGCACAGCTAGGTTATCCCAGGCATCAGTCATGGGATCTGCTCTGTGATGTTCTTGTGACCTCCAGGCTTGCTGCTCCCATCTGCCCAGCCCTCCACCCAGAGAGAGGTTTGATGTGGATCCTCCCAAGGATCTGCAAGGGAAGCTCCTGCACTAAGAGGGAAGGGTTCAAAACCACTGGGGCTCCACTTACACTGAAACAAAGGATTCCTTTGCCTGGTTCTATGCAGAGAACCTTCCCAAGGTCTCTATCCAGTGTGCAGACTGGATCTTCTCATTTGTAGCCAAGATAATTTCTCAGGGATGCAAAGCCTGCAGTAGTGGAGATCACACTGGGGCAGGATTTGAGCTGGAGAGTTGCAAGTTATTACATTAATCCCTGCTAATGGATCTAAAGCCTAATGCCAGCTTTTCAATGTTTTTCAGCTGTATAACTGCTCAAGCCTGGGCAGAGACCAGTGCTGCAGGATGCTTTGCCTGTGTTCTGATTCCTCCAGAGTGTTCTTCCATATCTGTTGAAGAACAGGAACTCTGTATTCCTATCACTCAACTTTTCCATCATGCTGTAGAAAGGTTTCCCTTAGTGGATCACCTTCAACTTCCTGAGGGAGATGTCTTATTTTGGACTGTACACTGTTATTGTCAAAACTTTTTTTTTTAATAATGCTTGTACCTGTCTCCAGTTGTACTGATATTCTGCAGCAGCCTGAGAGATATAAGGCATTTCCTTTGCCTGCCTGATCAGTAAGACTTTTAGCTCCATCATACTCCACTGTAGTGACAGGTCACTCAATAATGACAGTGAGAGCTTTGAATATTTATTTGATCTCTGGGAGGACAGTTTTCTCCTTTGCTTTTGGTTTCAGGTTTTTTCCAATTTCAAGTCAGAGAACGTCAACCTAATTCCAGCTGAATCTCACCCCCACATGCATTCAAGAGGAGACACAGCTGACATCACAAAATGAGAGTTACTACAGCTGCCTCATCCATGAGCTCTGAAAGGATCTTTGATATAGTTCTCAAAGATTTAAATTATTTTCCCTTTGAGCATGTCAGGGACAAGCAGGAGAGTGCGAGATTCACCAGAATCTCCTGCTGGAGATCTGATTTCCTGGGATTTTTGCTGTGTTATAAATTCACGTGCAGTGAAGGCAGGAGATCTGAGATGGTCTTGGAGCTCTTTTCAGAACTTGGGATGTGCTGAGGTCAATCTCTCAGTCCTCAGTGACAGCTACAGTAGCTTCTTGCTGCCAGACCAAAGCTGGTGCTCCATTTCAGATGTGTTCTTGATCACAGAGTGGAGACCCACACTGAACGCCCCTTCCCCATCCACACTTCTCTTAAGGACAACCAGGAATGTACAAGGACATCATAAAGGAGATCTCTGTTCACCACAGCAGAAGTCTCTGCCCTCTAAAGTATTCGCTCTTCATCTCCCCATGTTTTTTTCAGGCTTTCCCACCCAGCCTCGTGACTCATAAAGGAGCTATTCTTTCTTTCCTTGGGACCTGAGCTCACAGGGGGCTCTTAATCCAGTGTTTTGTCTTCTTGTGTGTCTGCCTTCAGAACTCAAAACTATATGAACTCTATAAATAAAGACTGCCTTTTGTTGTTTTCCTGGTAAATGACCAGTAAGGCTTATACTAAATTCTTGTTAAAGGTCATTTTTGAGTTCTGATAAATCAAGGGAGTAACTAACTTTCTCTTATTCCCTGTGACGTGGTACGTCCAGAAAGGTCTGTTTGTGCTAGCTGGGTAAGTTCAGTGGGCAGGAGTCTTGAAAAGTAATCTTAGTACTTTGTCAGTCATGACAATGAAAGGCATAAAAATATGATGGAGTTTGGAACAAATAATTGCTTTCTTGGCTTACAGACAACCCTGTTCCCAAGTACCCTGGGTTATAATAGCATTTTGTCAGTTTGTTAATCAGAAATGGAAAAATACAGCACAACTAATCTCCATGGCTGTCAAGTAAGACATGTACATGTGATGCTGAAAGACCTGGAACGTCCCAGGAGTGGGATCATGCAGTTCAGAAAGGTGTCTAAGGATTATGGAAATCTACTGCCTTGTCAGTGTGCTGGCACTCCTCGCCCTTCCTGTGCTGCCTCACCCCACATCACGGGCTCTCCAGGGCCATAGGGATTGTTCCATGCTCGAGTTCCCTTTCAACACCTGTAATTTACAGGCAGCCAAGCAGCTGTGTACACATCGGATACATAAAAGGAGCACGTGTGTTGGAAGCACAACCTCTGTCTGGTTTGACAGGTTCAACAATCCCACTGTCGCTTCCCCTAGCAGGCTGTCCCAGATCAAAGGGCTTGTACTGTTCCCTGGCCACAGGTTTTTTAGACAGGACTACAGCACCAAGTACATGTCCTGCTTGTAACTCAACACCCTGTGATTATTTATGGACCCTCTTCTGGGGACAGTTTGCTTGGTTCAGAGGAAATAGGCCATGATTACTTGGAGCCTGGCAGGCAGGTGCTTCCTGTGATACCTAGAAATACCCTGAATCTAACAAATTGAACAATCAGCCAAACGCAAGCTCGATGCTAAATATCAGACCTTTTACGTATACTTATTGTTCTCTAACCTTTCTGAACAGCCAGGCTGGCTGAAGGTATCTTGATTGAAAGATATGACTGTACAAACAGTCCACAGCTGGTTTCGAGCATGAATTGATGTGGAGAAAATCACTGTGCTGGAAAGTAATTGAAAACTTTCCAGAAAGCAGCAGCTTTGTGTGGCTGTGAAAGCCAGTTGCCGTTTGGATAAATTAATCTGTTACACTTACTTGTATCTATGCCTTGCCTTGTCAAAGCTGCCCCAGAGGTAATGGAGAGAAGATGGCTGTGCCATTGTGATCCTGGCAGGGAAGACAAAGGTGCTACAAGCTGTTGCTTTTTACGTGTGAGGTGAATGGGGCTTGAAGGTTCATAGATGCAGATCTGTCATGACAGCATAAGAGAAATTTTCCTCCAGCAGCTGCTCTGCTCAGGCATCCATCTCTGTGAAAAACAAACAGCAAACTAAAGCAATGCCTCATGCTCTTCACTGGCTGTTCAGTATTTTGGGGAACAAACAATTATTGTCTAGCAACTAGGAAATAGCTGGAGGGAATTCCAGCTCACCTGAGGGAGCCAGGCTGCTGCCCTGACAAGCATTTTGACAGCTATTGCTCACTACAGTGCTCAGCTATGTGCAGCCACCCTCACGTCTTGAGCACCCTCCAGATGATGCAAATCTTTCCATTTCCTCTAGGACAAAATGAAGCACCAGAATGCTGGATGGTGCAGATGAAGAGAAAATACAGCAGATGAAGAGAAAATACAGTGAGACACAGCATGTCTCACTGCTGGTCTCTGCCTCAGTGCCTGAAGCTGTGGCCAGAGGACAAAGCACTGGGCACAGTTTGAGGCCTGCTCAGGGATTGTGTCATTGGTGACTTTACAAGACTAGGGCTACCTTTATGAATGTGGCTTCTGTCTGCCTTCATGTGGTGCCCACTGATGCTGATTGATCTCTGGAGAAATACACGAATGTGCTTGTATGAATCCTCCTGTAAAATAAAATGCCTGTAACAAAAATACTGTGTTGGTATTGAATAATACTGATTGGCTTTGTCTTTACCCTGCAGGCCTGAAAGAACATTTACAGGCTGTCCTCCAAGATCCATGAACCAATATTTAGGCTCCCTTAATTTTGCCTCCTGGGCTGAAATCTGGCCTTTTCTGTGTAAGTCACAGCGTGACATTTTGCTGATCTTGTAATCGCAAGGCAGCGGTCAGTGGTAATGTCAGGCTGAAAAGGTTAAACCCCATTTGCCTTTTTACTATTGTTCAGCTTCGAGTCATTTCCCTGCTGAGGAACTGAGAGAGGCTGGACCTCACGGGGTAGTGCTTTGTGCCCTCACGTCTGGTGTGCTGAGACCTGGCCCAGGCAGGACTGCAGCCAGAGCAAAAGATTTTGTGCCAGTCTGTTGCTGTCTAGTGAGAGTTAGAGTAGCAGGTTTGTACTGTTCTCCCAGTCTCATTAGGAGTAGCCCCTCCACAGAGTAGATGTAGGCACATTGTTCACCTGAATGCCACCCACATGTGAAAGATATACTCCAGAGTACAAATATTTAAAAAAGACACCCACCTAAAGTAATTGAAACATAATTATTAAAACCTTTTATGTTACTCTACAGTACAAGGTAAATTGTTCCTTTCAATTAAATTTTGAAATACACTAGATTACATCATTTAAATAATTGCAAACTCTTAAGTTCACTATCAGTGGTAGCAGAGCTGTATTTACATATACTTCTGAGATATTTCAGATGCAGCATTATGTTCCAGTCCCTAAGTCAGTTAAATAACAGACTTTCAGTGGGGGTATGCTGCTCTTCCACAGGTTCTATACATATGTGGGGTGTATGTGTCAGAGAGCAAAAACTCCTTTTATTCATGTTTGCCTTTTTTTTTTGCCTTTTTTTCTTTTTTCTTTTTTTTTTTTTTTGCTGTGTGCATGCAGCTGAATCTGAGCAAATTGACACCTACTTGATGTGGATTAAAGATGAAAGGCCTTTCTTTTTAAACAGGTATTTTGACTGAATATACAGAGGTGAATAATGAAATACAGTCCTTAGGAGTAGTGGTGGAAAACATAATTTTCTTCAACTTTCATCCTCTGTTGCATAATACTGCACCTAATTTTGACCCTGACTTTACCTAATGCTGATGAAATACAGTCAGTAGTGGAAACCTCTCTCATCAAGACTGGCTTTCAACACGATCCATGCAATGGCAAGCATCATACATCATTCTCCTGCAGTGCAATATCAACAAGTTAAACAGTATTTTCCTCTAGTGATCTGCTCCTCAAGGGGAGACCATCTCTGTATGTACATGAGTCACAAACTGGTTGTGAGTCCTGAGGCTGGAGACCAACATTAGGCTCTGGTGCTTCCAGTGCCGTTAAGAGTCTTTGGGGATCAGACTCCTCCCTGTGTTGTCCATGGAGCACAGCAAGTTCAAGCCACTGAGGCTCTTGATGGTCTCTGCACATGACATTGGTCAAGCCAAGTCAGCCCGTGCAGGACTCAGGGCCTGGTGTGAGGAGTGCTGATCATGATGTTGGGCAGCGCGTTCCGCCGCTTCTTCCAGGAGCCCAGCTCCCTGGAGTACCGCCTGATCTGCCTGAACCAGTGGTGAGTCCGTGCCCGGTCGCTGTCCCGGAACACAAACGCCTCCCTCCTGATCTCAATGAGTTCAAAAGTGTCGTCACAGTCTGGATCAGTAGAGACAATGCAATTACTCAGCCTCAAGGGCTCCCTGAGCAAATGGAACTTCCCGTTATTTTTGTCCCTGATGAGTACCAGCACAGCATCCTTCACAGGCCCTGGCTCGGCTGATTCCAGGCTGGACTCAGACACACGCTTCATGTTCACCAGGAGGAGAACCTGCATGTTCTGGAACTTCAGGGTCTTGCTGCCTTTTTTCACCCACTGGCCATCGGGGGGCTGGGCCAGCTGCAGAGACCCCTCCATCACAAATCGCGTTTCCTCCCGCAGCCAACCAACAGTTTTGAGGGCAGTTTCTCTCATCTCAATATTAATGACTTCCCTCTTCTTCTTGCTGTCCTGGCGAAAGGATCGGAGGGTCCATGTGTTCCCCTCCTGCTTGGTTTTCATGTTGATGTGCTCCAGGTGGGACTCGATGCGGCTCTTGGCCTCCCGCAGGCTGCCGTGATCCGGGTGGTACTCGGTGGTGGCCTTGATGATTCTGCTGAGCAGCAGTGGGTACTTGGTGACTCTTTGCAGAGGGGCCATCAGGAAGGACCTCAAGTTCATCCGCCGCAGTGCTGTGTTGTCATTCTGGGAGACATTGAGGAATATTCTGCAGGGATTTAAGAAGAGAGAATGAAATGGTAGCTGTTCTGCCAGCAGATGCTGCAATCCTAAAAGCAAATGAACAGCATGGTGCTGCTGGGCACTGCAGCCTCCCCACCCCGGTTTTGCAACCTTGTGAATTCTGTCTTCTCAGAGACCAACAACAATTTCTGTACCTGTGCCCAGCTGCAGAACCATGATGAGGTGCCTGGGACACCAGCACACGGCATCCTAACAGTCTTCTATTAAATCATAAAATAGCAAGGGTGTGATCTTTCCCTGGTACACCCTGATGTAGACGCGAGGCACATACATCATCTTATATCAGATTATGTTAATTTGTAGCACCTTTAAACATCAGATTACACAGCACTGTCATCATTTTAAGCTGAGCAGTGGAAAGACAAATTATTCGCCTGACGTTCCAGTAAGCTGGGGCTAGGAATGGGAAACAAATTCAAATCATGTGTGCCTCACGGTGGCTTTCCCCAGTGGAAATCCAACCTGGGCTCTGGCACAGGGACTGAGAGCTGTTCTCAGCTGAGCATTATTTGGTGACAGTTCAGTGCAGTGGTCAGACACTGCTACCACAAAACATAGCTGGGGACCAACTGGTTGCCTCAGTGGAGATACCAAGAACTCAGTATTCTTTGGAGATTACATTACTGTCCTCACCCCAACAGAGTGGTAACTGAAGAAAGTTAGCATCAAACTTTGATCTAGTTGGGCTGACAAGGGCTTCAAACTCAGCTTGGTGCCCTTCTGTCCCCACAGCCTGGATGAACGTAGCCACATTCTCACCTGAGCAACTCCTTTTCCTTCTCCAGTGCGTTGAGCATGTTCACGGAGGAGGACTGCTGGAGGCAGTAGGTCTGGAAGGCTGGCAGCATGTTGACAAACTCTAGGAATATTTCTCCGATGCACACAGTCATCAGGTCATCATCCCCCTGCAAGGATGCAATAGATTCCCTGCTTGGTTAGCTCAGGAGAGACACAGACACAGAGCCTGCATTCAATCCTGTCAGCATGACCCTGCTGCAGGATCTGGTGAGCACCAGACCAAAGGTGGAGCTGGGCTCACCCTTCCTAGTGGAAAGGCAGTCCCTGCAGGTACCGGGGAAGCAGTGGGTGGGGAGGGGAAGGAAAGCTGGTCTAACTGCTTGCTCTTCCACAACAAAGAGCTGTCTTCCCTCCTCCTGTGCACTCAGCCAGCTCACCAGAGCAGGGGCTCAAAGGCCAGAGTGAGCCTCTATTCAAGAGCGTGTACTGGGGCCCTGCAGCAGTGCATAAATTAACAGAGAGCATTCAGGAGCAAATGTGTAGGGGAGGCTTGTAACTCAGTAACACACATGGCACCTAACAACTTCTGCAGTTGCTCCCAGCAACTGGCCTGGCTGGGAAGCAGTCTCCTTCAGCTGTGTTACTGGCCTACTTTGATGCCTAGAGGGAAAAATAAATACCATGGTAAACTGTCCTCTGATTTCTGGGTGCATAATAAATTATGAGAATAGCAAGAATTTGGTGCCATGTAATGCTCTTAACTCTGTCAAGGTGTATGCTGCTGACATGCTCTGCAATCACTACTCATTTCACCAGCAAAAGAGGGAACAGTTCTCTGGCTGCTGGCAGCTTTTCAGTACAGGACTGAGCTCTGATTGCCAAGGCAAGATGGAGGAGATGGGGAAACCCATGGCTGTTTGTAGAAGCCATTGCCTCAATAAATTATTCACAGGGACCATCAAACGGGCTGTGCACATCTGTCTTCACTGTGCCAGGTGCACGAGTGGTTGTCCAAATTGCCAGTTTTTGAAACATGTGTCACTCAGTCTGACATGCAGGGTTTCAGAGAGGGAGAGAAGGGATGTTTTCCTAGAGAGCAAAACATCCTGGAGAAACTGACACAGCAACAAGTGGGGTTTGGTTTCTTGAAGAAAAGAGGGTGTTGAGCTGTTTAAATGTTGTTTGAAGTGACTGTCTGCTGCTCTAGTCTTACTTCGATTTCTGTGCCCTCTGACCACCATGCTAGTGGGGCAGGAAAGCTCCTTGTGCGAGGCAGGGTGCATAGGGTGGTACACAGCCAGTACACAGAGCTGTAGAGCAGGGAGCAGCCTGTGCTGCCTGGCCCTGCAGCCAGCCTAGAGCGAAGCTGCAGTAAACTGCAAGCCAAGGCAAGCACAGCCAAGCCAGCATGAAGCGAGTCAGCTCAGGGCTGCAAGAGCATGGCCTGAGAGACTGACCAAGCTGAGCTTTGTGCCCCCATGGTCACACTCTTACCAGCATCCAGGCTAACCAGCTTAGAGCTAACTTTGGTAATGGGACCATTAGGTCCTGTTAATGGGATAAATGAGCAGGGCTGCTGGTGGCCTGTGAGGTCAGTGGCATTACCACAGCAGAGAGTGGGGCCAGCAGCTATGACCTGGCACACAGCTTCTGAAATCACTAGTTTACAATAGCTGAGGGAACAAGGGACTAGATAGATGATCATAACCCAGAAATCATACCTCCTGCTCCTCTGCTCCACCTATGCTGCCCCACTGACACAAAACCTATTCCTGCCTGCCTTGTCTAGCCCCTTTAGAGCACACAGCATCATACCTGGTCAAAGGCCTGATCGATCTCTTCCTGAAGTATCTCCAGGAAGTTCTCATTGAGGTCAATGAGTTCCTGGATGTTGCTGAAGATGCCCTGGAGCTGCTCCTGGCTCAGCAACCCGGCCGCCTGCATGGGGAGGTAGAACTCCTCTTTAATGATGCGCAGGTCCTCTCCATAGCTGGCCTCTGTGTTGACAAACTCCAGCACAGACTCCTTGCGCTCCGTCCTGCGCTTGCGGCACTTCTCGCAGAGGTCAGCCCGCCTCTGGTTGCAGTTCTGAACATCTGTCTCCACCGGCAGGTCCCTTTCTCCACAGTCAGTGCAGGGACGGTGGGCTTCCCAGGCCTGCAGGGAGCTCAGTGTTTCAGATGCCCTGTTCCTCCACTTCCTGGCTGGCATTTGGCCAATACCACTGTCTGCCCTCTCCACATCTGCTGACTTGGTCCGGGTGCCCTCGCTGGGATCCAGGTCGTCCCGGGCATCATTCACGCCAACAATCCCACTGTCTGTGCTCAGGCTGCTGACGTTGCTCCAATGGTGCCTGGAGCGGAGGGAGCCACGTGGGGCACGGCGAGTCTCATCAAAGCTGCCACCATGGCCAAGGTTGGCTTTTGCTACCACTGGACCTGAGAACAGACACAAATCATTACAGGCACTGCCAGCTGCAGAGAGCTCACCTGAGGATCTCTCACCATGAGGAATCCTGCGGGGACAGGCTACATCTGGTGAAGCAGGGCTCTGAGCTGCCTCCCCTCCCTGTTTTGCTGCTGAGACTGGCAAGGGTCAGAAGCAAATGGCTCCCAGGTGAAGCCTGGAGCCTGTCACCCCTGCACTGCCCACACCTGTGAACCCATTTGGTCTGCCTCTTCCCCTGTCATACAGGGACAGAGACGCAGCAGAGTAAATCCTGATTTCTTGCATGCCTGGGTACAACCCAGAATGCTTCCCTTCCCCAGGTCATAGAGTTACTCCATATTTACAGCAGCACAGCAGGCTCAGCATCTGACCCTTCAGCCCCTCTGAGAGTGCAGAGCGTGTACCATAGTCTCGCTCCTGCCGGCGTTTCTGCGCGTGCTGCCGCGCTGCAGCCGCGATCTTCAGCTCCAGCTGCTTCCTCTTCACCGAGTCTGTCGGCATAGGGTCACTGAAGTGTGGCCGCAGCCGGCACTCCCGCTGGGCCTTGGCACCATCCGTGCTCTCATGGACTATGTCGGAGCTGGATCGGCGACAGCCAGGACTGGGGGTCTGCAAGAAAGGCAGGAAAGGGTTTAGAGCAAGGCTGTGGTCAAAGCAGCACCTGGTCTGCACCCACTGGACTTTAGATGCCAAAGGAGAGGAAAGGCAACTCAGCAGCAGTGGGATTGTAAATGCAGCTCCACTACAAGATCATTAAGGAATCTGTTCCCCCTGGTCCCTCTGTCTTGCTCAGTCCTAAGAGCAAGAACCCCTTTCCCTTTGCTGTTGTGTAGCTCTGAGAACACGAGCGGGTTGGATCATGGCTGTCAAATACCCATGAAGGAGTCAATAGCACAGCCCAGGCCAGGGGCCTGTCCCCAGGATTCTGAGCTATCTTGCCTCTGCTCTGTGAACATTTTGGTGCTGCAGGGTCCACAGCTCCATCCTCCATGCCTTACTGACATCAGCAGTTTGACCAGGAGGGAACTAGGAGGGAGTCTGATCTCCCAGATGCTCTGGAAGCCAAGAAGTCATTATTGCTGAACTCCCTGAAAGAAATGCAGTGGCACATAGGCAGGGGCACAAAACCGACTTCTGTTTCATTAACTGTAATAAAAAAGGCACTAGAAATGCTTCTAACAGAGTTTAATCACTCATGGAAGTTGGTGTGATTTCAGATCGAAGGCTCCCAGCCTGCCCAGATCCTACAACCAAGGGATCCTTCAGAGCTTCTAATGAGGAAAAAATCCTGAACACGTGCCCAAGACGAGAGGTGAATTCCTCTCCCTTACATTCCCTGCAGGTGGAGTGGCGCTGGCTGTCTCATTGCTTGGCTTGTTCTCCCAGGTCTCTGTTGCCATGGACATCGCTGTGGGCTGCTGGCTGTCCTCCGGAGGTGGGAGATCAGCTTCCCTCAGATCACACTGTCCCTTAGAGGGGGATTTGGCAGCAGTCTCAGCATTGCAGCTGCAAGGGAAGAAGCAGATTCTGATGAACATCATGGATGCAATTCTCCTGCTGTTCCTGACACAGATGAGACTGAGCAGCAAGCCCCAGTTTTAACAACCATCTGCAACAGTTCAGGGCAAGTGCAGGCAGGAATCATGACTGGTCAGCATGGATGGCTGTATATGCATTTTAGGGGCTCTAAGCACAGCTCAATTAAGAGTGCAAATTGGGTAACTGCGCTTTTGCCAACATCAGTCTGGGTTATCAAGTCTTGGGTGTTCACAGGGCATTTTTGTGTCCATAAAACATGAAGTTCTCCATAGGGACCAGAAAATCTTCTAAGTAGGCCATATCCATATTTGCTGCTATTTAAAGAGATGTTGTCAACACAGAAACCATACTGCTCATCTGGAAGAAAACCTGCTAAAAACCCTAATACTTTGAAGGGATTAGAGGATTAAAGGAGCTTTCCCTCTGTTTTTCGTTTCTTATGATCCCAAGCCCACTGAAACCACTGGAAAGATACCCCCTTCTTTCAGTGATCTCAGGATCAGGCCTTTTGGTGCACTTAAGAGACCTGAAAAGATCGGCAGAGTCTATTGCTCTCACTTGGCAATTCTGAGATGCCCTTATTCGTGTCTGTCTGTAGCTAACAAGGGCCTGGTCTGGCTGATATAGACAGCCTGTTCCAACCCCATGTTCCCCTCTCTGTAGACACCACCACCTCTCCAGACAGACACAGTCTGGTGCAAAACCACTGACTTGACAGAGTAGTTGACAGGCTGTCATTTGTGATACGACTTGTGATACATTTTTTTAACAGACTCTCTGAGACACCTTATTTCCATGCATAATGAAGCCTGCTTGGAAGAATTTTTTTTTTTATTTTTGATTTACTTTATTTTTATGGACTTGGATCCCTTTACAAAGCAAGGTTGTGAGGACTGGATATGGACGCTTGTATATACAGGAAGCCAAAGTCTGGAACATATTTCAGGTTATGCATATATTTTATGCTTAACAAAAATCTCCTATGAGAAAAATCTTCTTCTTAAAGGCTTCACTTGTGAACTTATGCTGATAGGTCGTACTGCTAATATGCAATTCCAACAGTGTCAGCTACAAGCAAACACATGAGACAGATGGGCATTCTCCTTACAGTGAGTGACAGTTGGCACCGATAACAAACCATCAGCCAATACTGAAATTGCTGAAGAGGGAACAAATCTCCCAGGACATAAGCCGTCTCTGTTCTCAGGCCAGAAAAGTTGGTTTGCATCTTTCCAGCTGATGCTTTTTCATCGTCCCCCATTTATGTTTCCAGGTCTCTGCTGACACTACCAGTTAAAAAGAGTTTAGACATCGCTTGCACAGCAACACCAACAGTGCCAACAGTGCCAACAGCAGGCTCACAGCTTTCACTTTTTGTTGTCACCCTCCAGGTCTCTACTGCCCAGCCTGCAGAAAGGGGATACCAACATCAGCACTGTCACGAAGCAGTCTGTAGTAGGGACTGTGCCAGCCCCTTTACAGGGCTGCAGTAAGAGCAGCGCAGGAACAGAGCAAGGCTGTGGTCACATCATGGTACTGGCCTGGTCTGGCCTGGCTTGAGAGGTTCCTGCCTCCTTCCTCCCTCCTGTCCCCAGCCACGCTTGGGATGCCACTCCTTCAGCCCAATGTAACTGTCTGTATGGCTATGATCTAAAAACAGTCTTGAAATTATATGGGTTTAAAAAATATACCTGACCTCATGTATTCCCAGATCATTTCATAAATGTTTCACTGAGTTGGGTAAAGTATGAACAATTTAGCTGGGGACACTCATGGGAGGGGAGGCACAGGTTAAGGAACAAGAAAACTCTCAAGGACGATGTGCTACTGCTGGAAAACCACCCTTTCCAAAAGCTGCTCCTGCTTAAACCATTCCTAGTTCAAACACACAGAAAGGGGCACAGAGAGGCAATGGGGATGTGTCCAAGGTCAGTAGCAGAGCTCAAAACTGAAATATTATCTTCTTGATCACACCACCTACCACCACACAGACCAGACTCTGAGAGAGATGCTGAACTTTCATTTGTCATTTTTACAGTGCTTCAAAATCATCCACTTAAATATGGGAAGTATTCCAGGACATTACTGCTCCGTTAAGTGAAGCTGACAGCAGCTCTCTGCAGACCAGATGCCACCACTTATTGTGGTTTCCATAACCAATAGGAATATTTAAAAAAAATCTCCAGCCATGACCTGCAGTGGGAATAAGAGCCAATAGTATCCAGAGAGCTGAGCTAAGGAAACATTACTGGAGACTGAGAAATTCAACCCACCCCATGGCTGGTCAGCGAGAGGTAAAAAAAGGCAGTGATGCAGAGCCCACCTTTTGTGAAAGGAGATTTCTTCATCCTTGCTTTGACTGCTGGGGCAAGTGCTGCTTCACTCACTAGGAGTGTGATCAGGATGTGGGCAAAACAGGGAGGATATAAGCAGTTTTGCAGAACCACAGCTTCAGGCTTTAACCTTTGCCTCTGGTTAGGAGGAAGAGGGGACATTGCCAAGAAAACAGGATATTGCCCCTTTCTCCAGTCCCCTCTTCCTGGCAGAGATCTGTGTGGCCAACAGGTCTGCACCACTGCCTGCTCAAGCAGTCCCCTCTGCCCTCATGCAGAGCTGCAGAAGGGGGGGACTGTGGCATATTTCCTTCTGGGATCAAACCACTTACTGGGACAAGAGTTTATGCCTGGGATTGGTGTCAGTTTTTCTTGTTCCCCCAAGACGGGTGATGCCCTTGGGCCAGCACAGGGAGGATATGTTCTTTTTGAAAGTCTTTTTAAACCTCTGGGTCATCATCTCTGAATCTCATGGAAGCAGAAGTACCAGGGGTGTGGTGTACAACTGGAAATGCACCTACTTTCCTTCATGGTCTCTATGGGCCTCTTCATGCTTGTATCATTGTTCAGGCCAGCAGTTCTCAGCCCTTTTCACATGTTCCTGACTCCTGACTCATGGAAACATTTTTGTGCACGCCTTCCCTGCTGTCACCTCCCTTCCTGACTTGGAGTCCTCCACTATGGGACGTTGGTATTCTATCCACCGCCCTGGTGCCATCCCAAATACAACACTCTTTCCAGGAAGTCTTCTTTCTTAGTCATGTCCTTTGCTACCTTGTGCAGGTTTCTATTGTCACCATGTCTCCCATTTCATAGACACAACCCCCCTGGTCCTTGCATACCCTTATCCTGAACAATTTGCCATTTAACAATTTCAGAAAGTGGACTATATATTGAAATGCTTACAGGATTTCCACCTAGATCTCAACACCCCTTCCCAGCCAGGACTACAACCTAAATTAAAGGTATACAGTGACCAGTGAGGGGCCTAAAGCTGCCATAATTTCAAGACTGAAAATCAAATCTTCACTGGTGAAATATTAAGTCAATTGAATGAGTCTTAACTAATTAACTATGAATTGCTAGGGAGACAGTTAACTTACAGACAAAACTGCTTTGTAAAACTGTGACACACAGAACCACTAGAAAGAAGACAATTTTAGGTATTTTATTCTATGACACTCCATCACAACATCTCTATCAAGGGCTTGCTGAGCTCAGTAACAGTGGAAATGGGACTGAATCCTCAGCTTTCAGCTCATTTCATTTAGAAGTTATAAAAATGTGGCCTGGATGTCAACAATCATAATTTAGGACCCAAAACATCCAGATAAAAAGTCTCCCACCCCTGCAGCGAGAATCAGCTTGAATTGTGAATATTCAGGCACATTACAGTCTCAGGTGAAAATGATGGAAAAATGAGAAATTTCCATAAAAAAGAAACTCAAGTTTCCCACTAACCAGTGCTTTGGCAATAACAATCACCATTAACTGATGTTATTATTATGGAAAATAAACAGGCCAGGCTGGTTCCTTCACATGAAACAACCTCTCTCATACTGGAACCACTATCATTCTCATTTTTAGATCAACTATCATTTTGGTGTTAATAAAATCGCTTAATAGATTTTAATATATCCAACTAGGGAGACTGAACACATTCACAGAAACAAAAACCACTGTAGATATTACAAGCAAAGAAACCACACTGAAACCATAGAGGCCCCGGGCAGGAAGTGTTTGGAGACCAGGAGAGTAGTGGGAAGAAAGATCTTATGCACTACCCATTTCCTGTACTTTGCTATGCATTCACCTGGGCTCCAGATATTAGTCAAACCTTTGATCTGCATGGAGGTAGCTCTTCCTACACTCCTGGCTTGTGCCAGGCTGTGTATTTCATTTCACATCTATGACAAAAATAACCTACTCAATGAAAATGGCTGCGTACCACAGCTTTCTCATCTGCTTCTTTGGGTTTTCATACTCTAGAAAAAAAGCACAAAGGCTGGGCTGGACAGCTGAGGGAAGCATTTAGGGTTCTGACACCACCCACTTCCCTTTGGAATGTAGAGTTGCAGAAGTATTTCTGCTTGTCACCCTGCTTCAGCTCCACAGAAATTCTTTCAGATGACTCTCAGTCCTGTGCAGAAGTCACTATCATCTCCTCCAAAACCTGAGTCCAGTCTCAGAGCCCATGCATTCCAGAAACAGCAAGACAGGATACAAGGTTGATGCCCTGGCATTTCACACACTGATCTGTGGATTGCAGAAGCAGCCGGGAAACAAGTCAAATGCAATTCTTGGCAAAGCCAGTTATGAAAGCCAAGTGCATGGAAATAAACCACTCCACCAACACTTATTCCTCCTTTTTCCATCAGCCTTTTCCCATCATGATAAGACAGTGATAGCTGCCCCAAATCCTTAGCTTCTAGAACTTTGCTGATTCCTATTGAGCCACTCTGCATAGAAAGGGATCCACTTCTCTTGGGCAGGAGGGAGGTAACAGGACTGCACTGTCCAAAAACAAGATAGAGAAAAAGCAGTCCTTGTGGACATCTTTCCCAAAGAAGGGGGAAACCATGGTTGGAGAAGATGAAGGAAGACTTTACAAAACCATTTTCTCTCGCTGCCTACACTGAGTTGGCAGAAGGGCAGTATTTGCAAGCGCTTTCACTCGCTGCTGTGTGGCTCTGCAAAAGGTGATTAAAGACTCATAGCAGCCACCTTGCTCTTGTTTGCTGGTTCACTTCATACAGGCAGCAAGTGAAAGCACTTGTTGCTGCAAGTGACACTATCTAAATTCATGTCCTGCAGTGGTAGGACAGACTCTACATCTTTCTTCAAAGGAATCATATTAGTACTTTGTATCCCTCGTCTGTCTTCTACTTTTAACAGATGATTAAAAAAAAAAAGACATTTCAACAATTTAATGCAGAAATAAAAGGGGTGGGAATTTGGGTGTCAGAACTACTAATGGCTGCTCTCTTTACAGGATTAAGGTGCACAAAAAGGCGAAGTCTAGATGAAAATGCTTTTTGATGTTTAATCCTATGCAAAGATGGAGTTTAAGCTCAACAGCTTAAAGACGTCCATGTGGCTATCAGAGACTCTAAGATCAAAGGCTCTGCCAACAACACATTTATGCTACAGAACTTAAATGTACATATCAGGAGAAAGACGAGATCATTAACAATGGAACTGCTTTCAGGTGACCCCATGGAGCATGTTACCTTTTCTTAATAAGTTCCAAGGCTGAACCTATGAATTCATCCTTCATTTTTTGTAGCTTAGCTCCATAGCTGGATAAGTCTGTAGCTTCTAACAGCAGCGATGAACAGCAAGAGGACTGGGCTTCAGAAGCCAGGGACTGCCCTGCAAGGTGGAGGACATCATTTAATTTTCTTGTCTCTCCTTTCTGCTGCTCATCACTCAAGATCTCCTGCCCAGTTCTGTGTATTGCTACTGCCTGTAAAGGTGATCGTGGAATTGGACTGGAGCAAATAGGGACTGGCGATGTATCTGGGCTAGAGGTATGGAAGGTTTTGTCCTTCAGCTCAGGACTGCTCATCCTGAAACCATCCCATGTGGCTGGATACTGGGAAAAGCCAGCAGAGGTGTGGTTTTCGTGGAATACATCGTCATCATCCTCCACTGTGACAGCAGATTCATTGACAGCTCTGGTCCCCAAAGCTTCTGGACAGACATTCTTTTCCTTCTCCAGTGTCTGGTTTGCAGGCAAACCCTTATTCAAGCACTCTGTTGTCTCACTGCTGCTGGCAGATGAATTTCCTTCCTTTCTTCTCATCTGCTTAAATTCCTCAAAGGTGGGTATGTAGAGCCTCCCTTTACAGCGACCTTTCTTGCTCTGTCCCAATGTGACTTTGCCATCTGTTTCCCCACTGTATTGTTCTAGGGTTTCTGCTGTTCTGGATTTGCCCATCTCATGGCTTTCCCCTGTGAGCTGAAGGGGCAAACTGGGGGAGCTATTCTGCCTTCGGAGCTGAAGCCTCCTCTGAGCCTCCTGCTTGATGTCTTCTGGACTGATGATCCTGTGTGCAAAGCACAGTCCCTGTCTCCCTGTGAGGCCGCGCCTGAGGGCAGTGTGTTCCACCAACACCGTGCAGTAGTTGACAGCACAACCGTTCTTGCACTGCCGACACACCTGGCACTCAAAGAACTCCCGGGCCATCAGGTCAGGCAGGGCCACCTGGGGACGCACTGGCTTACAGGGCTCTGCCACCTTACTGCTGTGCAGCCTCAGCTTCTCCTTCAGCTCTTTTCTGGCATCCCCATGTAGGGCTCTTTCCTCTGCAGAAGGGAAGAGCCACTGAGGCACTTTGGCAAAGGGAGGGAAGAGCACGTTCTGTGCCGATTGAGACGTCTGTTTAGCACGGAGAGAAAGGTCTCTTGGAGAGTCCGACGTGCTCTGTACTGGGGCCACATCCACACAGCCTTCTGTCCACTGACTGGTGCCTCTATAGCGAAAGATGATCTCGTTATCCAGGCTCCGGCAGTGAGAATACAGCCCAGAGTCGGCAACAGTTGCCCAGTGAAGGTTCTCCACGCTCCGATACATCCGGTTTTCCACAGGACCGGCCAAAGGTGCCCTGCCCGTGTGGCAGTAGTCTAGAGTGTGGAAGTCCCCAGAAAAAATGTGAGTGTCTAGGTTCTTTAGTGGATGCATGCTGCTAACCGAAAAATCCTTTAAGCCATGTTGTGCACAGAGCTGATTATTTTGGCAGCTCGAGATCACCCGGCAGTGTTCCTGTCTCTCATCAACACTGATGTATGTCATAGCAAATGCACATGGAGGCTCTAAGACAGTGGCGTCTAGGGGGAGAGGAGGGAGCTGTGGTGTTGCTTAGATGGCAGTCAGTGTCCACAGACCACAGACAGCACAATGTGCTGCTGAGGACTCACATAAGAGAGCTCTCACATGGGTGGAGTCGCCATGCACGGAAGACCTGTGAATGGAAGGAAAGATGAGTTACTGAAGCAGCTGCAGGATGCAACAGCAGGTCTGCTTCCAGGGAACGCAGAAGCCAACACCAACAGCTTGCGTAGGAACAGAGCAGCATAACTAGTAGATGAGCCACAGGGCTTGGGGCAGGGAATCTTTTTCTTCTCTAGCCAAGCCAACAGTGGTCTTACACTACCCATCTGAATTTGGAGAAGTTTATCCTACCTACCCTCAGCAATTCCCTCACAATAATGGGGTTCAACTCCAGTGACAAATGCTCAGAACTGCTTGCTGCAGGCCCAGCTTACTCTCACTGCAGCACTTCATGAGACAGCAGGTTTACAAGAGATAGCGAGGTTCTTGCCCTCAAAGGGGGTGCAGACAAGAGTGTGTGGGTTAAGGGGGAGGCTGGGGTGTGAAAGGATCATATAACACTGAGGTCTCCTGGAAGACCCAAGCAGCAAGGAGGACAAATAAAGGTAGTGGGTTTGTGCCTGACAGTCACACTGCAGCCCCCTTATTGCTCTGATTAACAGGGAAGATGCATATGGTTAATTGATTGCATAGGGTAGCCAAGCATTGACAAAGGCCTTCCCAGTGCAGACAATGGTACCTCACAGACTTTCACACAGGCACCATCCTGACTCCTTAACCACAGGCCCAAATGATCACTCTCCATGAGACCCAGAAAGAGAAAGGTGTGCTTTCCAAGGCTGCTCCTATGAGCTGTGTTCAGTATTGTAAGGACCCGGGAATCTAAGTGACTAAATCTCATGTTCAGAGCAGAGAATTAAATCCTCAGACTCTAGTTTGGGCCAGCAGGATGAAAACTAAGTATCTGTGTCATCGCTGGAAGTGGATGGAGCCCCCTTATACTGAATGGAGAGACTAAATTTCTCACAAGGACTTAGGCCTCCTAGACTTGCCAGCAGTCACACAAGGCACCAGGGTCTGCTACAGCTCAGTCCACTGCCTTTCTTGGCAAAGGGAATACATAAAGGACAGCCATACATAAAGGACAGCAAGATTGGGCAGGAAATATGGGGTTAGCCTGAGATTTGTAAGGGCAAGATAGAGCTGGGATGGTGAGGCATCAGTCTTTAGTAATAAGCCAGGCAGGAACCAACCAGGTTGAACACACAGGAAGAGGTCTTGGTAAAGCAAGACAGAACCATATAAGTTACAGCCCAGGCTGTTTGTTCTGTAGTGCATCTGGATTCCCCACATGTGGCAAACCATTCAGGCAGCACAGCCACCTTGATCGGGACAGGAATGAAGAGGTTTGTTACTCCCTGAAGACCAAGACTCCTCAGGCATCTCACCATGTGACACACCAAAAGACACCTTCCATCTGAGGGGAAGTCTGAGGTAGTGTGCTGCCTGGAAGCCAATCTTGGTAACGTGCTGGGAGCTTCATTCATCCCTTGCTTAGAATGGCTCAAATTAGCATACTTTCCCCGCATTAATGAAACTATCTTTAATCTAATCCCAGAGAGGGAAGGCAGAGCTGCTCCTCTGGTTCACCGCTGAATGGAGAACATTATTTCCATCCTTCATAACTGCTAAAAATAAAAATTAAAACTAGTTCTCAAAGTGTGGCTGTTCACAGGCACTTCTCACCCGGTCTTGTCATGGTGGGGCTGGAGTTCCCCCTTCTTCACGGCTCTGGAGGAGCCCACAGGTGACAGCAGAGAAACGTGAGGATCAGGACTTTCTGTGATCATAGGTTATAACATAATCTGTCAAGAAAGAGAGAATTATATGATGTGAGAGCCAGTCACTGAGTAGGGAACACGGCTCCTGGTAGTGCCAAAGGGCTCCCGTGAGAAAGTGCTGTTAATAAAAGATGCCATGGCCTGTCAGGTTGGTCTGTGATCAGGTCACTGCCAAGGGACTAAAAGCCACCATGTACTTTTGGTACTGTGCTTTCAGAGTAAGTATAAAGAGAAAACAGCTCTTGCTGTAGTGAGAGCTGAGAATAAAGCTGCCCTGGCCCAAGGCAGGGAGCTACATACAGTAAGGCCTGAAGAGAAAGCATGTGAGGGAGGCTCTGCGTGTATGAGTGTGAGAGCAAGGGGGTCAGAGAAGAAAGCACACAGGCAGGGGCAGAAGCAGTCAGGAGAAGAGCAAGAAAGTAGAGGAACAGAAATGACAGGGTGGGATCTGTCTGTGGCTGCTCCCTTCATCAAGAGATGGGTCAGCACTGAGAAGACAATTGACTTTTGTCCTCATGATTCTTTTCAGGTGGACATTCACTGCCAGTGCTCATAGTGCTGAGTCCCACTGTATCAGGTCAGCTACAGTGATGCCAGGCATGGGTTGTCAGTGGCCACTCTGCCCCTGCCTGCTCAAGTGACAGCACAGACCACATGGCGGGGGGTTGCATCCCTCTGTTAATCAGGGAAATGCCTCAAACCCACCAGCAGGTGAGGGCACCCCTCTGCCCTGCAGGAGAGCTGAGGCCCATTTTCCCAGCGGGTGTGGAAGGTGCCAGTGCTCAGGAGCAATGCCAGGCAGCAGGGACCTGTTGCTGCTCTCCAGGGCAGGATTTTCCAGAAGATGTGTGTGGGATGGCAAAAGTCACTTTCAGGGAAGGACCAGCTGGGAGAAACCTCCTGTGGGCACAGTGGGGCAGGCAGAGCGAGGGACAGAGAGCACGAGCCAGGGGCAGGTTTGCAGAGTGGAGGAGCCAGAGAAGACAGAGAACAGCCAGAGTTGGCCGTGAGACAGTAGGAGACAGAGACTTTCCAGAGGCTGTGCAGAGTTTGCTGACACGTAGGCAGGCACCAAAATGTACTGGATTAAGTGGAAGAAGATGGGAATTTCGTTTCCAAATAGTTTATTTTAATATTTGTCACCCAATAGAGCTGACTTTTCTTTCTCTAAAACATGATTTTTTGGTCTAAGAGAACACTTTAGACACAGGAAGTCCCTTTGATACTTCCAGGAGAGCTCAGAGCAAAGGTGTATGCAGATGTAGCTGATGCACAGGTGGGTGTGCAAGGGGATCTGGTGCCCTGGTTGGAGTGAGAGGGAGCCTCAGAAATCAGTGATTTCCATTTCATCTCACTCCTGCAGGGCAGCTGTAGTGATTTCATAACAGCTAGCTGGGGCAGCAGCACCTTTCTTCCCTGTCATTCCATTCTTGGAAGGACCACCTCTTTCCTAATGAACTCTTCTGAACTGACCCATTCCTCCCACGTCACTACCCTGAGGGTTGTGCACAGCACGTCAGGTAGCTAAAGCTTAATTTCCCAGAGCACCCTGCCCAGCTGCTGCCCGAGTCATGACCTGTGAAGGGGGACTGGCTGTGCTGAGGCACAGCCTGCTTCCCGCTGTGCAGGGATACTTGAAGCAGGAAAAAAGCAGTGGTCTCTCTAAACCACCAGATAACTTGTACCTGGCCTGTAACCAGGAAACACTGTTTCTCCCTCCTTTCCCTGTTCTTGTGCTCCATTCCTCAGGGCACACAAGCAACAGCGTCATAGTTTCAGCTCACATGCCTGCGTTTGTCAGGCTGTTGACACCCCCATAATGTAAAGGATGTGTCTATACACTCAGCTCCCAAGTAGCACGAGCACAAGCATGTTCTAAGCAGTCTGCTGGAGGACAGCACCAGATGGAGACAGAAGAAAAAAATCTCAGTTAATATGCTTATGGTTGATACCCTAAAGATGACCTTTCAGCACATACTTGCAGACCCACTGTACATACAATTTACCTGCAGTCTTACACCAACAAAGTCACCAACACAGAAACATTGGGAACTACAGCAACATGAAAGAGTTTGCCCTCCCACCACCTCAGAGCTGTAACTACAGTCTGTAGCTACAGCAGGTGATTCCAGGTATGGAAATTAGCAAATGTCACAGAAGTGTGAGGGAATGGTGAGAAGTAAATGCTGATTTCTGACATGGTGACCCAGCTCTGGGTCCTAATTCACCCCCTCCTGAAGGTATACAACAGTCCTAATGCATCCTTTGCTCTCTTCCAGTTAAGACCAAGCAGTGAATTGCCAGTTCTTTGTTGCTCCACAGTGTATGTGAGCACTGTGGGTTGAGGCTACACACCTTCATTTACCCAACTGGGTACTTCCAGGCAGTCCTGTCCATGCTTCCCCAAAGCTGAGGCTTTATTCTAGTTTGGCAATCCTCCAGGCCAATGTTGACTTATTCCAGGCCAAACAGCAAAACAGAGCTTCATGTTGGCTGCCACTGTGGCATATCACTGCTCTTCAGTCACGTTATCTGTGCAACTCTTGCCTGTTCCCTGGCTCAGGGACTGGAAACTCCTAGTGGTTGAGCCTCACGCCTTAAGTGAGCATAAGACTAAAGCAACGTGTGCTCAGCTTATTTTCTGCCATGTGATTCGTTTAATCAACTTCTCCACTATTCTGATAAGTGCCTGCTTGGAGACTTGCCACTAACCTCAATTTTCCTGCAAAATCCCCCCCAAGAACTTATTTCTCAAGGATTAAAGCTTGACGGATAAATTATTCCCTCCCAAACACATCAGAACTGTTCAGCCTGGCTGACCTTCCCAGCAAAGCACCAGACAAAGTGTCAGGAGGATGAAGCAGGCAGGCACAGGATAAGTAGCTCACTGCTAATGAAAAGCACTGTGGAGAAGACCAGTAATGTTCAAGGACTCCAGGGACATCAGGACAAGGGATCACAGAGCTTTGCAAGGCCTCAGGAAAAGAGGCCACCAAATCTGGCAGGGCTGAGTAGGTTTACTGGTGCTGCTTTGCAGAGTTCACTGTAGTAAGATTTGCTCAATAGACTTACCAAAGAAGGACATTTGTTCCATGAAATGGTGGAGAGCAGCTTGCTATTGTCTGGCCTCTCCTGCCTTGATCAGAGGCTTCAAATGAGATTGATACATTTTCCACTTTCCACTTTTACATCATCTCAGTCACAAGCAAATTAACTTCTGAGTCATAGCCATCACACCAAACTCTTGCTTTGAGGGGAGGGGAGTGACTGGAGACACCTTACTCCATCTTGAAATACGGGATTAAATAACCTTCAGGTTTTACTCTACTTTCTCTGCATTAGGTTTTGCAAAATGCACCACTGAACAGAGGTTAGTTTATTCTGGAGTACAATCTCCCTTTTATTTCAGAGATCTAACCAGCCAGAGGGATGCAAACAGCATATTTCAAAGAGCTGTATAAAGGATTTTAGCAAGCTACAATACTGCTGTGAGTTTTTTGCTATCTGATACAGCAAACCTCATGGACACAGCATGATCTGTCTACTGCCACGTCATGCACATCACTTCAGCTGCTTAGCAGAACACCAGCAGTCTCAAGGGAAAGAATGCCAGATACGTTTATTTTTTCAAGTTAAAGGTTAACAAGAAAAATAAAGGTGCCTTGGCTGTATTTTCTTTTTTAGCTGTTCTCTTAACCACAGCTGTGCTGCAGAAACTGGTTGATGCAGCGGGATGATAAGGTGACTGCAGCTATATTTCTTGGGGGTTTGGAGAGTTTTTTGTCTGTTATAGCAGCTGAAACAGGAACAGGGCTTATATAGTGTCTGTTAATTGCAGCAGGAGAGGTACAGGCACAGTAGTTCTCTAAGCCAGTACAATTTCCTGGGTTTCTTTTTCTTCCTAGGGTAAACAGCTGCATGTAACTTTCCTTGAGTTTACAGTATTATCACTACTTTCATTGTCTGCTCCACGGCACAGATCAGGATTGCTAACAAGAGGAACAATTGCCATATCGATTCCAAAAACAGGTAATAAAGAGATAACAATAACCTTTCTAGTCTGCTCACTGTATTTATAGTCCCTGAAATCTCAGAGACAGCTTGGCATGGGGAACCTCTGAAGACCCAGTGCATCCCAGGGTTGAGGGGTTGCTGGGAGCACAGGCAATGGCATTAAATTCTGCTGTGTTAAAGGTGCTTGCCTTGTCACACGATACTGTCTCTTTTCATTCTTCTCAGGATTTTTTTCCTACTTCCCCAACTCTTCCTCCATCCCACTGCACTGAACACAAGCTAATACAACCCATCTGTGGCTGCTACTTGACACACATCATTCTGCAGCTTCACCACCATTACTATTGCCTCCAGAAAAACAACTGACCTTGGCCAGTGTCAGGGCTGGCTGGTCAGAGCAGCCCAAATGTACACATGTGCCAGCCAGATGTGCCAGAGAAGAATCTGTCCACAGTTATCTGTTGGTCACTATAGGAACATCCTGCTATCGTACACACAGTTCCACCAGGGAGAGTGTAGGAATCACCATAACTTCATGTGAACTTCTATTTTGGTCAGACTGGCTCCAAAATAGTGTCATGGCAGTGGGAAAGCTACTCACAAAATTTTATGGACTCACTTAAGGCCTCAAGTGTTCTTGGCTCTCTTTCTGTGGGATTTTTAAGCTATTTGGGAGCTGTGGTTTATTGACATGAAAGGTTTCACCTGAGAAGCCACAGTGCTCCACACACCTGTGCACTTGGCAGCAGTGCCTTTGATGATTTTTTCTGGCTGCTCTGTTAGTCTGAGCAGCTTCTCCTTCTTGTGTCACAGCATGGTTTTCTCCTTGTGTTCCTCCTTCAGAAAGGCTGTGATGACATGATGCTTCCAGCCTACCTCCAACAGCAGGCACTCCAGCACACTGATTTCAAGCAGCATACTTTCAAGGTGACCTGTGTTCCCTCTTGATTCCTTGTTTGTACCCCCTTTTACCACTCGGTCTCTTGGAAAATACTGCTCCAACT